GCGAAAATCCGATGCGATCCATGACGCCCGACTCGACTGGTATCTGATGCCATCCCATAATAGGGGTATTAATCGCGCGTACATCCTCGAGGACAAATGAAATAAAAATAGACACCAACACATTGCTCCATTATTCATGCCGCATTCACATCTTCCCTGCAACCCTTCTCGATTATTAATCCTGATAGAATTAGATGTAATGGATGATTCTCTGACCGATGTGCCCTTGCTCTTTGATCCCCTGCGTTCATGAACCTTTCCCTATTCTATATCTGGTTATCCGTGAGTCGGACCAGTGACTCCACTAAGCCATGGCGTCGACTTCCAGGCCATCGCTCAGCCGAGTCCTCCACTGATCACAATGTTCCTCGAACCCCTTCAGCACGTCATTGCAGACGCTTTGCGCGTCTCTTTGTCGCAGTCGTTGGTCCCAGCAGCCTTGTTCAATCCACCTCACCGAGTCATCCCGCGAGTCCATCTCTTTCCTCCAGATTCCTACCGCCTCTTTTGCGGCGCGCAACATGCGGCCTGCTTGGTTCGTGGACTGTTGGTTTACTTGTAGAGTATCTTTCATATAGTCTAGGGCGGAAATGAGGTCGGCTGTCGATGTGTGAAGAGCGTGTAATGAATACAAGGGCACTGTCGAAGGGAGGATGGATGCTAGTAAGGGTAGTGTGGAGTCGATCTCCGGTATCAAACCCTCGAGGAGCTCGAGTGGGAGAGATGCGAAAGATATTGGCGAGAAAATGTGTTGGGTGAGAGTCGTCATCGAGCGGGATTGGTTTGTCAGGTAGGTTGAGAGCGCATTGCAAGACGTTGATAATCTGGAGAGGTACTTCGTTAAAGATTGACGGAGATGCTGTCGAGCGGCAGTCTGACATACCTCGTGCTTCCCGTTTCAATGCTGCTTTGCCATCCCAAGTCTCTCAGTGCTTCTGTGACTCTTGCAACCACTCTGTCGCCGTCTGTGCCAGTTTCCTCCAAGCCTCGTCGCGCCATAGCTTCGATCGAGGCCATTCTCGCTTCCAAGGTTGCCGACACCAGCTCCGTTTCTTGCAAGTCCGAATCTGATCCATATTCGCTCCCATCGTACACGGAATTGAGCCTCCAATGTCCCTTCGTCTTCATTCCTGAAGGAGGACCCAAATGCTTTGATGTAGCCGGTGACGAGCCCACATCTATTCCGCTATCTCGTTCCCTCTCGAGCGTGCCATTGGTGTGATCCTGCCCCTGTCCTTCGAAGTCCTCTTCGCCGTCCTCTTCCTCATCACCGCTCCAACCACCAAGTTCGTCGGCCAAGCTCCCCATACCTCCATCGTCTCCCAATTCCGCAAACTCGTTCGCCAGACTTTCTCCGCCACCATGACTTGATCCAAATCTTGAACGTGCGGGTGAATATGCGGCCGACGAGCGTCTCGAATATGACTGCGATTGTGAGGGTGGTCGTGAGCTGTTGCTGAAATTTGAGGATTGTCGGCGATGGACCGGCGTCAGAGGCGGGGACGACATGTCGGAAGAGGGTCTTTGAGGCAGCGAGAAAGATGAGAAGAGCGTCTCTGGAGTCTCTGAGATGTCTAACCTTTCTTGCGCATCAATGTCAGTTGGCCAGACGTCAAACATGTAATTGTAGTTCGTCGTCGATTGGCGCCGTGGTTTCTCAGGGTTACTCGTTATGATTACAGAGCATCAAGTCGGTCGTTATACAGTAGTTATTTGTTATAAATCGCGTGTTCTGCGCATTTGCTGTATTTGTTCTTGTTGGCGACGTGTCTGTCCATCTCGTCGTCAAATTATAGCCCTGGTCGTCAACACGAACTTTCTGCCACCAATTTAACGTCTCGCGAACCTGGCAGTCAAACATCACAAATGCCAGCTGCGAGGGAGATTGTTAATGGCCTCCAGGCATAAAAGATTGGTCAAGACATGCTTCGACACCTGCCAAGCCCTCGCATGTTACATGTCTTTGAGCCTCATCTTTTGATTGTCCGTCGGATGCCGTTTGATGCCCATTAGGCTGCCTCTCCTCCAACTGCCTTGGCCATTATTGAATCGTGCTTGAAGCCGCTTCGGGATTTCGGGTGCGGGAGACAAGGAGCCAATCCTTGTGCAAGTTGTTCAGAGGGAACACGATCGAACTAAGCACTTCGACAACTCGATGCTCACTTCATCGTTGATCTTCAACCGCTGCATGCGATATTCGATTGGAACCTAGCGAATCAGCATCCACTTATGAACAACGCTAGGCTCGGCCGTGGCTCCAACTTGTCGTATGGGACGCGTAACGGAGCTTGCTACGGTCGACATCCAATAACACCCAAAGACCCTACCAAACCCCCTCTCCGACTGCTCAACAGACTTTGCACTGCGAGCGCGGGCACGGCGAGGCTCCCGAGCGCCTACGCTAGTACTAGCATCTTCGGGGCATTCGTCTCTCGATTCCATCGGATCTGTACCCTACCTGCGTCGAGTTTAGCATACATTGGCATTCAACGAAGATGATGTGGTTGGCAGAGGCTGCTTTAGTGATGGCTACGACATCTCAACGAAGTCGTGTAAGGTCACACATGGCCAGGTACTATCTGCTCAGTCACCATATAGACCTCTCTTTATGCTGCACTTATTGCATTCTGGCTAGCTTGGTTGATATCACCGGTCTCGACCTTGCCTTGCTCATTGCTCCAAGTGCTTTGGACAGACCTCGACAGTCAGTCCTCGAAAGGAACCAACATCTAGGCTCAAAACAGATGGTAGATGCTGCATCAAGACGCCCACGATTGGTGAGTTGAGCTTTTCACTCACCGTGGTCGTCGGATTCTCACACCAGAACAGTGTCGAAACCAAATCTTCTCGAATACAGCACACGTCTGAGATCTGGACCATCTTACCACATCATTTCACGGTTTTCAAACAAACGATAGTTCTCGTCCAAGAACAAGCCCGCCGCGAGAATGCCTCGAACAACTGATCTTACCGACAAAGACCTAGACTGGATGCAAATAGCCTTCGAAGACCTTGAAAAGAATCTTCTCAGAGCACCAACCATCGACGAAGTCATCGAGAAATTCTACGGCTTTCATTACTCACGGAAAGTGAAACACATCGCCAATGGGCAAGTAATTGAATTCAAAAAGGAAGCAAAAGCAGAGCTGGCTGAGGAGAGATGGGGAAAGCAGTGCTCTGGCTAATTTCCACGCCATGGTGCCTACTAAACTTCCTACGAGTTCGCCAGCTGCCCGTGGCTTTCGAAAGAAGCAGAATCTCAGGGACCTCGAGCAAAGGCTTCAAAGTTCAAGCTGAGATGGGTGCCCCAAGGGAGACCCGTGAAGTTCGGAGGGGAATAGGGCATGTGGCGTTGGGAAGAGGAAACACAGAAGGGAAGTTAGGATAGAAATTGCTGTGCTGACCGGCGCCGCCAGCACTAACCGTAGTCATCGTAGCCGACTCCGTCAGTAAAACTCTCATACTCGTCCCTTTTCTCTCTCTGGTCCTTAGGTACGTCTGTCCACAACATGTTTTCGTCCATTCCTCCTCAGCCTTTTCATCCTATTCTCCTCAGCCTGCATCGTTTCGCCACTCACTGACATGTGCTGCTTGAATCATCAACGGCTCAAGGTCTCAGACGATCTTTGCACTGCTTCAACGCCGAGAAATTGACTAGATTCGATCTTACATCAGCGCTATGATTATTTGCTCAATCTCATTGGTCGTTCTGAAGGGCCAGCTGGCGAAGAAGTAACCAAGTATACTAGCAGTGCTATCCGGCAGCAATTCCAGCTACCTAGCGCCAATTGTTCTCCTCCAATGACTGCAACCAGCGAGACTCTTTATGAGTATGTGATTCAAGCCAAGTTTTCTTGTTGTTCCTGAAGCATGGCTACTGCCGTTAAAGATGTTAATGACGTTGTGGTCGTCAAAGGGCAAAAAGGAGGAGTGGTTCGGCTCGTCTACATCGCCGCATTCGTCTTGGACGAGGGCAGGAATCTGGCTGGAGGTAATGCGATAACGAATCAGCGGAGATGTGCATCCTCGAGATGGGTCGCAATTCCTTAGTATCCATCCAAATGTCTGAAATTTATTGCAGGATGCTGGCTGTTGTCGTGAGGAATGTAGCAATGAGATTCTCTCGAACGATCCACAGAAGGGGAGGTGAAAAGAGTGTCGACTCTGTTATAATCTCACTCAACAGCTTCTTTTTACGACCTACAACCCTACTCGGCCGATAAATATTCCCTTTTCACGTCTATCCTCTGCGAACTGGGCAATTCGATTTCGGCAGCTGTCCAAGAGACGATCGATGGCTACGGGACCAGGTGCTAATATGGTCATTGAACGGCTCAAGTCAGGCCGGAGTCCGTTCCTCAGCAGGTTTGAGTCGATGAGCAGTATCATTCACAGGACGGCGAGAGAGCTTTGAGCGGTTTGGATTGGTGTCCTTCTTGGAGACGCAGCGTTGCTCAACAACATTTCAATATCATTCAACCAGCCTTCAATCCAGCTTGCCATTTTCGGTCTCGAATCGAGACAACCAAGTGAGGGCTTGTCTCTCGCGATGAGAAGCCTCATCGTAGCTAGTGCCTGAATACCGGTGCTCCTCGCATCATCAAGTACGACGCCAGGCAATCATCCCGATCACCATGCTCCCATCGCGTTCGATGTCGAGCTGGCGCCGTGCTCCTTTTTTCCACATCGAATTTTTGATGTAACGCCGAGGAATACTTCATTGATAACCGATCACAGACGAAGACTTCAGAAGGTGTAGGACATGCTGTGGAGAATGCCATTGGCTCGGCCGGCCAGCAGGAGCAAGGCTTATCGATAGCGAATCCATCTCTTTCTTTCTCCCATCTCGAAATCTCAACCAATCAAATGATCCTCCAACCGTATCCATCTCGGACCCTACTCGTCCCCGTCCAGTCCAGATTTCTTCCTTGTCACGACGCTCTTCATCACAACTTACGCTACAGAGGTATATACTAGTTTTTGGCCATCTAATCCTCAGCGGGCAATTGGTCTAGTGGTATGATTTCCCCTTAGCACGTTCGATGGAATTCGGACCCAATCTGGGGAAGGTCCTGGGTTCAATTCCCAGATTGTCCAGTTTCTGATTCTGAGCAGGCGTTGCGCTTGCGGGATTTTCTTTTTCTTCTTTCCTCTCGCGGGATAGAGAGATGAATCGTTAATATTCTTCGACCTATGTTTTTTATACAAGTGACATAGCTCACCAGCTTTTTCGTTAATTTGTCAGCTTCAGCACAAGAGTACACGTGCCCTTCGAGATTCAAACAGTTAATCGCATTTCGCTAAGCTCTGCCACAACCACTTTTGAGATTCTATATGTGCCCCCTCAAACAAGGTTTGGATCATTGGGGCAAGAAGATTCATGGAATCATTGTGGTGGGCAGTTCCTTTCTTTCTTCTTAGTAATGCGACCTTGGTTACTGCCACGGTGGAGCAGGGAGCAATTTGTTTAGTCGACAACGAGAGTCTTCTGCACAGCATGATAGTTTTAAAGCTCGGAGATTTCAATGACTCACAAAACCTATCAACATATATACACTGCATACAATATCATCGTGATCAAACAGCACTCTTCTTTCATGCCAATTTGTCATTCACCTCAGTCATCCACGTTCATCATCTACAGCCGTGACCGTTGAGTGCCAATATTAGCAAGGTCGAATCGATCCAGGTTCATGACCTTATCCCAAGCAGCGACGAAATCCCGCTTGAATCGATCGTTGCCATCAGCTGCGCCGTACACCTCAGCGACGGCACGGAGTTCAGCGTGAGAACCGAAGACCAAGTCAGCACGGCTGGCGGTGAACTTCTTCTCACCAGTCTTGCGGTCGGTACCTTGGAAGGTCTCCCCATCTGAGCCGGTGGCCTCCCACTTGATGTTCATGTCAAGAAGGTTGACAAAGAATTGGTTGCTGAGCTGACCGGGGGTCTTGGTGAAAATGCCGGTATTTGATCCGTCGTAGTTGGCATTGAGCGTTCGGAGACCACCGACAAGGGCAGTGAGCTCAGGAGCGGTCAGGGTCAACAAATTGGCACGATCAACGAGGAACTTCTCGGTCTTGACACGCGACGTCGATTTGCCATAATTACGGAAGCCATCGACCTTTGGCTCAAGGTGCTCGAATGAATGTACATCGGTCTGCTCCTGGGAGGCATCGCCACGTCCAGGCGTAAATGGGACCGTGAGACCAGAGGCCTTCTCGAGAGCAGCGCATCCGGCGAGGACGATGAGATCAGCAATAGAGACTTTCTTGGAGCCTCCGTTGAATTTCTTCTGAACACCCTCCAATGCACCCAAGACCTCTTTCAATTGGGTGGGGTTGTTGACTTTCCAGTCCTTTTGCGGTGCAAGGCGGATGCGGGCACCGTTAGCACCACCACGCTTGTCAGTTCCACGGAAAGTAGATGCAGATGCCCAAGCCGTGGAGATGAGCTTGGACGGCTCAACACCGGTAGCAAGAATTTCCTTCTTCAAGGTAGCAATATCGCTGTCATCGATGACGGGTCCGTTCGGTGTTGGAATAGGGTCTTCCCAAATCATCTCCTCCTTTGGAATTTCAGGACCGAGCCAGCGGGATCGTGGACCCATATCACGGTGGAGAAGCTTGAACCAGGCACGAGCGAAGGCATCCTGAAGCTTGTCTGGGTTCGCTAGGTAATCGCGAGAAATCTTTTCGTAGATAGGATCGAATCGAAGAGCCAAGTCAGACGTGAGCATGCGTGGCTTGTGCTTCTTGTTGGGGTCGTATGCGTCTGGAATGATTTCCTCGGCGTCCTTGGCCACCCACTGATTGGCACCAGCCGGGGACTTCTCCAACTCCCACTCGTACTTGAACATGTACTCAAGATACTTGTTGCTCCACTTGGTGGGTGTGCTAGTCCAGATGACCTCCAACCCGGATGTGATGGTGTCTGGGCCTTTACCAGACTTGTGCTTGTTGTGCCATCCAAAGCCCTGGGCCTCGAGGCTGGCAGCTTCTGGCTCTCCGCCTACGTTGTCAGAGGGCGCAGCACCGTGAGTCTTACCGAAGGCGTGACCACCAGCGATCAAGGCCACGGTCTCCTCGTCGTTCATGGCCATGCGGCCAAAGGTGGTGCGGATATCCCGTGCAGAGGCCTTGGCGTCTGGGACACCGTCTGGACCTTCTGGGTTGACATAGATCAAACCCATATGGGCAGCGCCGAGAGGCTCTTCGAGGTCGCGGGAGTGGATATCGGAGTGTTCTTTCTTGTGTTGATCACCATCGACGACACCACCCTCAGCAAGACCCTCTGAACCGGAGGAGTAGCGGACTTCATTGCCCAACCAAGTCGACTCACCACCCCAGTAGACGGCTTCGTCAGCCTCGTAAGTGTCTGGACGACCACCAGCAAAACCGAAGGTCTTGAAGTCCATCGACTCGAGAGCGACGTTGCCAGTGAGGAGGAACAAGTCGGCCCAAGAAATCTTGCTGCCGTACTTCTGCTTGATTGGCCATAGCAGACGACGGGCCTTGTCAAGGGACACGTTATCTGGCCACGAGTTGAGAGGGGCAAATCGTTGTTGTCCATCTCCTCCGCCACCGCGTCCGTCAAAGACACGGTAAGTACCAGCGCTGTGCCATGCCATGCGGATGAAGAGACCACCATAGTGGCCAAAGTCAGCTGGCCACCATTCCTGACTGTCGGTCATCAACGCGGCCAAGTCCTTCTTCAGCGCATTATAGTCCAGACTCTTGAATGCCTCGGCGTAGTTGAGGTCTTTGAGCGGGTTGGTGGCGTCAGTGTGCTGTCGGAGGATGTTGAGCTTCAATTGATCGGGCCACCAATCGCGGTTGCGAGTGCCACCGCCAGCGATGTTCTGCTTCTTGATGGGGCATTCGGCCATGGTTGCGTATGTGAGATGTGTTGGAGGGGATCTGTGGTGCAAGGGAAGCAAATGGGTGGACAGGACTGGGCGGAGGAGGGTCTTTATGTAGCGGGGACGGAGGCAAGAGTGAAGCAAAGGCATAGATTTCATTTATCAGCCAGAGTTCTGGACGCGGGGTATTGGAGCTTCACCGGGTTATACGTGGGCGACAATGTCAATCATGGAAGAAAGCAGCTAATCAAAGCTTCCGGAGGCATTTGTCATACTCGTCCGGGCGTAGTGGTTGGCCGTAGCTTGTGCATGGTGCGAGCTGGCGGTTTGATGGCCACAGGAGGGGATGGCATGAGATATCACTGCTCTACTTCAAAGTGAAGCTGACACGAGGACAACACTTGGATGCCCGTACTGCTGCTGAGTGCGTGCAGTTCTCTTCTCAATAGGTGCTTCACTCTTCTCTGAAAGTCTTTCATCCGTGGCAATTCCCATCACGTCTTCCAATGTCTGACCAGCAATTGTCTATGACATAAAGAGTGCGATAGCGGGGGCCATAATAATGCTAGGCGTCTGCAATGGGCGGGATTACGCCGCAACCCTAACCCAAGCATACTCGCTGTAGCCTTCATCATGAGCAAGAGAAACTCATCTCGGGCGGTGCCGATGGTCTTGACTCTCAGTACGAGTAATCGTGAAGAAGCAACCAACTTCTCACTTCTTCACCTCTACGGAATACAACAGCTGGTCCTCCCAATCATCCGAGCCCTCTTCAAAAAGTCCCGAGCTGTCAATCGTCCCACATGGTTCTCGGCATGGTCTCCCACGGAATGGGGCTCGGCAGGATACCGCTGACCAATGAGACGAGCCGTAATTCAAACGCCATATCAACCCTGCATAATAGCATCCTTTGCCCCCGACTTACAGACATTTCCACGCGACTCTTCGCCAATTTGCCATTCTCCAAGTTTTGGACCTCGGCCAAGAGGATGCGTCTGCCACGGTCTTCGTCGAGTCCCGACGAATCGCTGTATCGAAAGGCGCAGCTGGAGATGACAGCAATACTTGCAGGTGCCTCCGTAGGTGAAGCGCTCCAAATAATCCAAGTTGCCTCTGCGGGATGTTGCAGCCGACAAGACTTTGCAGAGCTAGCTGGGAAATGATAACGACATTGTGGTAGAACCACTGACAAGGCTAATGTCGATACTTCCTGGCCATTTGACTATCAAAGCTGTCCCAAAACAATAGACATTCGTCCCGAGGCGACAAAGCTCAGAAGCAATATGCCGTACAAGTTTCGCTGACTGCTTGGCTGAAAAGATACTGCATCGTCCGCTGCACTTTGACACCAATCTTTGATCTATCAACCCTCACCTTCATCTTCAGATTCCTTTGCCCCTTCCACCCTTCGGCTACCGCTTGCTTTGGCACATGTGTCAACGACAGCTTTCCCATCCGTTTCAATGTCTCTCTCCAGCTTCCAATTCATCATTCTCTACAAACTTCAAGATCAAAGTTCTAGCAAATCGTACCAAAGCGAGCCACGTCTGATGTTGATGATCTGGAGAAAAAAGTCATCCCAAGAAGCCCTGACATTGATCACCTCTATGATCGAACCCGCCCAACCCATTCCTCCAAAAGCACAAACACAGCCAACAAGGCCAATTTCAACAAAAAGGGAGTCACGCGAGGACAGATGGCCAATGCCGGAGAGGATCGAACATCTGATAGTGGATAGCACAAATCCTAAAGATGGGACGCTGAATGGCTAGACCAAACGATTAGTTGACGGAGGGTGTAAACGGTCTATTTTAACTTCATCCCACTCTCATAGACGCCCTGTCTGAGGTCCCCATATTGACCTGACCCTAGACTGACTCTGCACGACGAACAATGAGCAGAGAAACACGGAGAAGAAAAGGGAATGTATCATAATGCATCTAATCCATACTTTAATTGACACAATTTAATCCATTGTCAAAACAGAAAGATATGCTCCCATCCTTTCGAACACATCCCCCATTTCGCAGAAACAATACATGGGTAAATCCAGACAAGCCCACGGCTGCAGCATCGTAATCGACCCAGTCCTCGTCTCAAGAAGAATCATATTTTCCCATGCAGCGTGGATCTCGAGACTGAATAGCTCGGAAAGAGTCCTTGTGACGAGGTAGTCAACGAAGGTCGTGTCATCAGTGTGCCACGATCAAGTTCCAAGATTTCAAGTTGTGGCAAATGG